AAACAACTGCACCTCCCAGTCGCGAACCATTTCAACTCCCCCTCCCATTCCTCAGACGACATGTCCATCCTGGGCCTCCTGCAGTGCCACAACGATGCCACCCGAAGGTTGCAGGAACAGCAACTCATATTCCGCTTGGGAACCCTGCAGCCCAATGGTATCAATGTGGATTTCACAAGTTTCAAAATCTCCCCTCCCCCTACCGCATCCCAAAACCAGTCCAGCTCGTCCCTGCCTCCCTAACCTGTTCTTCCTCCCACCTATCCCCTCCTCCCACCTCAAGCCGCACCTCCATCTCCTACCGACCAACCTCATCCCGCCCCCTTGACCTGTCCGTCCTCCCTGGACTGACCTATCCCCTTCCTAACTCCCTACCTACACTCACCTTTACTGGCTCCATCCCCGCCTCTTCGACCTGTTTGTTTCCTCTCCACCTATCCTCTCCTCTATCCCTCTTCTATCCGCCTCCCACTCTCTCCCTATTTATTTCAAAACCCCCTTCCCCTCCCCCTTTTCTGATGAAGGGTCTAGGCCCGAAACGTCAGCCTCTCTGCTCCTATGATGCTGCTTGGCCTGCTGTGTTCATCCAGCCCTGCACCTTGTTGTCTCGGATTCTCCAGCATCTGCAGTTCCTACTATCTCTGTAAAATATGTTGCTCGTTTTGTCTTGGGTTTTATTTGGTCTGAGGTTTTGTAAATGTGAAATTTATATGGGAGGTTAGGTATCTATCTGCAGCTATGTTACTCACTAATCATGCTTATATATTTTCCACAGCTTAATAAATGAACATAAAAAACGCTATGAAGATCTGCAGAGAATGCGTAAAGCATTAGAAGAAGCATGGAATGATAATATAACAATGAAGCGACTGAAAAATTATGACGAAAATCAGTACTCAAAGTAAGATTATGAACTATCACACTAACATTTAATACTTTAAAAAAATCCAGGCCATTACCAGAAAAAGTTCACCTGATCACTGGGGCTCACACTATCTGAGTTGCTGTTGGTGATTGGCTGAAGCAGAGCTAAAATCAAGTTAGAACACAAAGGATAAGACAAATGACCAATTTGTAAGGGAACCACAATTTAAAGATAAAAATGCAATGGATAAAGAAAAACAGGCATGTGAGGGAAAAGGGAAAATTTAGAATCAGAGATATTGGAGGATAGAGTGTGGAAACAGGAATAAAAGGAAGAGTTATTGGCATTTTCATAAAAGTGTTCTTAGAGAACCGATGGTGTGTTAAGGAGAGTGTGTCAAGGATGGATAGATAGAGGCAGGGCTTATGAGTATCATCATGTGCACACCACCGGGTTTAGATGAAAAGTGATGGGTTACTGGTTTAAATACCTGCCAGATTGGACTTATTGAATACTGTGGGGAGGTGGAATATTTCTGTTGATCAAACAAAAACCTCATAACCATCAAGAAAAAAATGACGAGACAAAGCTTCTGTTCACTATATAAAAATAACTTTAATAGCAATCTTGATTCCAATGTTAGATTTGTGAAACTGAGTCATTTATTGCCCTGCTGAATTCTTAATTAATAATATTAATTGGAGTTTGTATGTTGTTAAGATCATAGCTGATGTTATTACTGGACAAGTCAGATCCAAAACTGAAATGTAGCTTGATAAATCATGTTATGTGGTTTAGTTTTAACAATGTGGTCCTTCACTGAGACACAAGCATGTAATGCTGCAGATTTGGTTTTAACAATAAAACAGAAGTTTACTATGCAAAAGGAATGAAGATAAAATGGAATAAACCAAACCATTAAACATAACAGACATTTAAAAAGTCAAAACACACAGTAAAATTCCATCCGATTAATCCCAATGGCATCCCATACTTATGACATACTTTCTCAGCTTCACACAACCCCTTCAGGATTTTAACCAGACATTTCTGGTCTGATACTTTTAAACTAAACTCCTAACACTGAGGTAACCCTACTTCTTAACCACTCTAAACAATCTGCCTTTCTCAAAAGTAACTGTTTTACATATCCAGCCACAGCCAACTGAAACCCAAAACTTTTCTCCTATTCAAGCGGAAAAGGAAGTCAATCTCAAAACTTCTAAACTGAAAGTCTAATGCACATTCGTTCACTTGTGAAAAACTCTTCCAATAAAATCAAAACTCCAACTTACATTAGGAACTCTCTCTCTCTCATACTGTTCATAAAGTAAATCACCATGGCTACAGAAAAACTACAAGTTAATCATTAAACCCTTTCAGACACACAGACTAAAACTCTCATGATAATAGTTCAAATTCAAATTTTAAAATATGTGTAAATCAAACATCTTACGTTGTAGAGAAGAATAATTTTACAAAATTAAACCTCTACAGAGGTTCAAAAAACATCTTCCAATTGCTGACCAATATATATTTTTTGAAATTTCACTGGTTTCATTTGGATCAAGTGTAGCTCAACAGAAGGTTTGCTTCTAGTTGTAACAATGCTGGGTGGTTAAGCTATAAGTATTACTCCCAATATGTTCTAAATGATTATATTGAATAGACTCCACAGCCCTTGCAATCAACCCCATGCATCACTCCATCCCAGTGAACAGTATTACAAAGCTGCCAAACTCTATCTTGTACAAAAAATACAAATGGTGTCTTATTCCTATCACATATTCGAAGGGCTACCATGATAGGCACCATGCTACATCCTAGTGATAGGACCCGGGGAAGGAAGATGGGAAACAGGGCAGAAAGCAGTTATCCACCATTTTCTAGTCCTATTTATTTAAAACTGCATATGAAGGCTGAAAATTTTCCTTTAAATTTCTACTTAAAATAGATATTTTCCTAATAGTCAGTTTAGAAGGATTAAAATGAGTTGCCAAATTCTTGGATATCAATGCACTCATAAAATTAGCAGGACAACATTAGTTAAAAAAAAATTAAAGTTTTAAAAAGAGGTTATGTTAAAGAAAGTGTGATTTGAGATACTTCATTTTTAGTAATTGTTAATCAACATAAGGACAACGCTAATCATCTTTAATTTACTTTACAGGGCTAGAGGACTTTTCCTACTTGATCAATGTAGTAAATATCGCCGTTGCTTTCAATGTAAACGACGTTTATCAAACCATGGCCAGACAAATATTTGGAACAGTACATTCATTACAACTGGAACAAATTAGTGAATTAACTTACTCTTAAGACAATGCACAGTGAACTCCTACCAAAATCATGGAAATGCCCACAATTCTCAGTATCTGAATTAATAATGTAAACTGGTTCAGCATATTTCCCTTAGATTACAGTGGAACTACTGTTGCAAGGGAGTATATGTTGTACTGTTAATCATTTTTTGTCTAATCAAGTAGCTTTTCCACCATTTTCGAATAAATCCATTTTGCAACATTGGCACTTCTTCAATCATTTCTACCCTTGAATGCATTGAGGCAAACTAAAACATTTTTTTTCCTTTGATATCAAGATATTAAGTAGGGATTTGGATTTCTTCAACTCTTTAGACAGCTGCTCCAGTCGTCTGGAAGCATCCAATTGGTGCTGAAAAGATTTGGAACTGCCACTGAAATCTGAATGGGTTACCTGATATTTAAACAAATTTTCATGTTCGTTCTGACAAGTTCAATCTCTATCTGTAGATAACATTGTCTCAAAGTGTAGTGCTCTTGGATACAAATTTGGCTAAGTCAAACTCAGACTTTGGGCAGAAACTTTGGACTGGTTTAGTTTAGTAAATGAGTGAGCGCATACTTAATTTTTTATACATTGAAAAACTTGATCAGTCCATGATATTCCCCAACCCAACCAACTTCTAGCCAAGCACTTTTCTGATACACTTGCTCAGAAAAAGTTATGTTGATTAGCTGAAATATATAACTTAATAAAAGGTTAAAATATGAATACAGGATAACAATCTATAAGTACTACGCATGACATAGACAAAAGTGGCAAAACAAAACTGCACATTTTTTAAAATGTTACAGATCTGCATTTTGTGTATTTGGAATTCAAGGAGAGTAGAACATGAGGTTGGGATGAATAGAATCATGTTGCGACATGTCAGCACTATGCTGGACATCATTGCTATATTATGCAAATTGTCTTCATGACTCTTCTTCCAAATTGCAAAGGGACAGTTCACCCAGAACCAGAGGCACACTGTATTAACAACAGCAGCAAGACAGCCTGCCGCTGGTAGGGCAAACCATAAAAGGACACCAAATATGTTGGCTGCAAGATCACATCCCACAACGGGGCCAACCTATTTTCTGGATTGGGCTGAACTGACTCCGGGTGCTGGAGTGCCAATGCTAAAGAGAATACATCAACCTGTGTGTGATGCTGCAGAGCAGTTGGCGACTCATTGGATGGATACATGAAATCCATGACGATGAATGTTACCATTGTATTGACCTTCTGTGCATCGGTGTTCTTTTGGAATTCTTCTTCCTCAAGACCCATGTGCTGAGTCTCCTAGGCTGCAGCTCATTGTTGAATTGAGGAGGTGATTAATCATTGTTCAATAGCTAGAGATTTTAGACTCTTCTACTTATCCTGATGGTCAGCCAGAGAGGTCCATTGACTTTGGTGACCATTGCAATGAAAGGTAAATCAATTGCACCAACGTGACCATTGATGCCCTTTGGACTAGTCACCAGTTCATTAGCAGGAAGGGGTTCCACTCGTTCAACATTAAACTGGTTTGCGAACACAAAACGTGCATCTTGCAGATGTTTGCCCGTTCTCTCATAATGTATAATCTATTGACAATCTCAAGTGCTGCAGCCATACAAGTGGATCCTTGGGACCAGATGTACTCATGCAAGCAGGGCTAAATACTGGTGAGAAGGCCAAAGGTTTGATCTGAGCAATGATCGAGCAGGCTTCCTCTTTTTATCATTACAGTTCTGTTGCCTGGACTGATATGGTAGAGTTCTGCAATACACCCAAATGAGGAGTTCCCTTCCTATTAGGTGCTATGCTCTGCACAGCCTCACAGAGCATAAGGAGTGGTATGCATAAGGATTATTCGGATAACTGGCACTCCTCATCTGACAAGAAGGGTGGGAAGGGGACAGAGCAGGCACATGGGATGATAATTTCTTGTAACAGAGATGTGCAAGAGAGTCCTACGGTTTAGACTCACTTTCATCAACATGATACCCCTGACATGCCAGTTTGGTAAGAACTCCATGTTGGCTTTGTTGGCATCTCCTTATACAAAGTGCTCACATTATACTTAAACTTTACACTCATTATTCACCATCTCCTAGCTCCCTGCCTCTCCATTTGTACTTTATGCACCATCTGAGGTGATAAAACTCCATCTCTCCAATACAGGCAGGCAGATGAGAGTGCAAGGTATACATCTGGACTGAGAAGAAACCATTTACTATGTTAACAACCCACATATCAAAACATAAATACTATTTAATGAAACAGCACAACATTGATCAAATATATAGCCTGATAATATCTGTGCCTTTCCTGCTGCATCTATATACTATTTTGAAGACATTTACATAAGCTTCTATGGGATATGTGGCCTGTACTTGCAGTTGAAGTCTAGGTAGGCTGCTGGCCTCACTGCCCTGTGGCTTGGGATAACTGTTAATGTTGTCCTCTAGAGATCTCTGGCGTGCTGAAGACATTCTGCACAACTAGAGGCTCCTTCTTTATCACTTGAAGTGCTTTTGGCACTGGTGGAGGGGCAGTGGGTGCCTATCCATCCCATCACCACTCTCACAGGAGTCTCTGTTTGTGGCTGGAAGCTGATCCACCTCCCTTTCAATGGATAAAGGCACCTACCTGCATACCAGAAATGAAGGAGGACCTGGAGGGAGTGTGTTAAGCATATGGCCAAGGCAAAGATATGTAGGTCTGCCTACATCACTGTGAATAGGTCTGAATCTAGCCCTCCATGAGAATTACCACTCATTCAGTGGAGGACATTAAGTACTATTGTCTGAGACATAGCAACACTCATGGCCTGGATGGCAAATAGGGATATTGAGAATCCAAAGGGATTCTACAAATACATTAAGGACAAAAGGGTAACTAGGGAGAGAATAGGGCCCCTTAAAGATCAGCAAGGCCGCCTATGTGTGGAACTGCAGGAGATGAGTGAGATACTAAATGAGTATTTTGTATCAGTGTTAACTGTGAGGAAGGATATGGAACTGGCTGTCCAATAGGAGACAGAGGGTGGTAGTAGATGGGAAGTATTCAGCCTGGAGCTCGGTGACCAGTGGTGTTCCACAGGGATCTGTTCTGGGACCTTTGCTCTTTTTGATCTTTATAAATGACTTGGATGAGGAAGTGGAAGGGTGGGTTAGTAAGTTTGCCGATGACACAAAGGTTGGTGGAGTTGTGGACAGCATGGAGGGCTGTTGTAGGTTGCAACGGGACATTGACAGGATGCAGAGCAGGGCAAAGAAGTGGCAGATGGAATTCAACTCAGAAAAGTGTGAAGTGATTCATTTTGGAAGGTCAAATTTGAATGCAGAATACAGGGTTAATGGCAGAATTCTCAGCAGGGTGGACGAACAAAGGAATCTTGGGGTCCACGTCCATAGATCCCTCAAAGTTGTGACCTAAGTTGATAGGATTGTAAAGAAGGCATGTGGTGTGTTGGCTTTCTTTGGCAGGGGAATTGAGTTTAAGAGCCGTGAGGTTATGCTGCAGCTCTATAAAACTCTAGTTAGACCACACTTGGAATATTGTGTTCAGTTCTGGTCACCTCATTACAGGAAAGATGTGGAAGCTTTAGAGAGGGTGCAGAGGAGATTTACCAGGATGCTGCCTTGCCTGTAGGGCAGGTCTTATGAGGAAAGGTTGATGGAGCTAGGGCATTTTTCATTGGAGCAAAGAAGGATGAGAGGTGACTTGATAGAGGTTTACAAGATGATGAGGCATAGATAGAGTGGATAGTCAGAGACTTTTTCCCGGGGTGGAAATGACTATTATGAGGGGGCATAATTTTAAGGTGATTGGTGGAAGATACAGGGGATGTGTCAGAGGTAGGTTCTTCACACAGAGAGTGGTGGGCGTGTGGAATGCGCTGCTGGCAGTGGTAGTGGAGTCCAATACTTTAGAGACTTTTAAGCGACTCTTGGATAGGCACATGGAGGATAGTAAAATGTAGGGTATGCAGGGTACTTTGATCTTAGTAGGATAATAGGTCGGCTGGAGGGCCTGCCTGTACTGTGCTGTACTGTTCTATGTTCTTAAGTTAGAGTACTTGGGGAAACAAATAGCAACATCTTGAAAAATGTCCATATTACAGATCAGGGTGCTGGATGTCCTAAAATGCATTAAGGTAGATAAATCCCCAGGACCTCATCAGGTGTACCCTAGAACTTTGTGGTAAGCTAAGGAAGTGATTTCTGGGCCCCTTGCTGAGATATTTGTATCATCAATAGCCACAGGTGAGGTGCCGGAAGACAGGAGGTTCGGCTATTGTGGTGCCGTTATTTAAGAAAGGTGGTAAGGAGAAGCCAAGTAACTGTAGACCAGTGAGCCTGACATCAGTGGTGGGCAAGTTGTTGGAAGGGATCCTGATGGACAGGATTTACATGAGTTTGGAAAGACAAGAACTGATTAGGGATAGTCAACAAGGCTTTGTGCATGGGAAAGCATGTCTTATTGACTTAATTGAGTTTTGTGAAGAAGTAAAGAGGATTGATGAAGGCAGAGTGGTGGATGTGATCTGTATGGACTTCAGTAAGACATTCGACAAAGTTCTGCATGGTAGACTGGTTAGCAAGGTTAGATCACTTGGAATAGAGGGAGAACTAGCCATTTGGATACAGAACGAGCTCGAAGGTAGAAGACAGAGGGTGGTGGTGGAGGGTTGCTTTTCAGACTGTGGCCTCTGACCAGTGGTGTGCCACAAGGATTGGTGCTCGGTTCACTTTTTTTTTAATCATTGTTTGGATGTGAACATAAGAGGTATAGGTAGTAAGTTTGCAGATGACACCAAAATTGGAGGTGTAGTGGACAGCGAAGAAGGTTACCTGAGAATACAAACAGACCTTGATCAGGTGGGCTGGTGGGTTGAGGATTGGTAGATGGAGTTTAATTTAAATAAATGTGAGGTGCTCCATTTTGGAAAGGCAAATTAGCGTAAGACTTATACACTTAATAGTGAGGTCCTGGGGAGTGTCGCTGAACAGAGAGACTTTGGAGTGCAGGTTCACAGTTCCTTGAAAGTAGAGTTGCAGGTAGACAGGATAGTGAATTTGGCATTTGGTAAGCTTGCCTTTATTGGCCAGTCCATTAAGTGTAGGAATGATGTTGCAAAAGTTGAAAAGGTTCAAAAAGATTTACAAGGATGTTGCTTGGGTTGGAGGGTTTGA